CGGGAGCTTCAGATTTAGGGTTATTCAGCAAGAACGTCATGGTTGTTTTTGGTGCTTGTTTTGTTTCTTTGAACTGACAGGGCTAAAATATGGTATGGTTATTTGTCTCTATGCAGTCAAAAAATTTTAAAATGCTTTGGCTGATAAATATTTTAAAGGTAGTATGCATATGGAATTCAAGCTGGGATTTTTATGTGTGTGTGTGTGTGTGTGTGTGTGTAAAAAAATGTATGGTTCTTTGTAAATTTTGTCAAGATGCAGAAGCCTATGAATGACTTTAAATGACAGCAGCCATTTTGGGGACTACTTGGAATTTGTAAGTTAGTTTTTGCATGATGGATTGGCAGAGGTCATTGAGCTGGAGAAGTTGAATGCAAATCGTATTTCAGTTAGTATTTGAATGCTTTCAAGTGGCCAAATGAATCAAAGCTCACTTCCAAGCAAGATAGTAGTTTTAGAGTTTCTAAGGATAACTCTGATCTTTGTCAGATGCTAACCTGGAAAAACTTTTTAAAACCCCTGAATTGCCTGATGATACTGCTACTCTTCCTTAATCTCCTTTCTACCCGTTGCCTGTTTACTCCAGTTTTTACTGTTTCCTATTTTAAATGATAAATCTGAGGATCCTGTGGACACTGTTTTATATATATATATATATATGTATATATATATATATATTTAAAGCATTTTTCAACATAAAATCTAGTGAAGGAGGTTTAGAGACTCCTTCCCTTTCTTATATCCCTTGGGCTAAGGCTAAATCATGGGTTATTACTAAGAAATTCCCTAATGTCTTTAGATACCACCACAGCCTTGAATTTTGCCATTCAGTAAACCTGGTTACCCTGGTCTCTAGAAGGTTATTCATGTGCTGGTAAATAAAAATCACGCTAAAATGTATGGGAAAGACAAGATGGAAAAGGCAAGATTTTTCTAATTGGAGGGCCACTGAGAAAAACTTTTAATTTAGTCAGATAATTGCTTAAAATGATTACTGGCATCTTTCCAGGAAACCTTAATTTGGAATAAAGTTCAGTGCTTTTATAAAATTTCAGTTCAGTATTCAAAAACCCAATAAACTAGTTTTAGATGACTTTGACAGGTATCAGAAAATCTCCGAACAATATTCTGACATTGATAATATCAATTATGAAACTTTTTCCTTGTCGGCTGAAGGAAAACATGCTAACTGGGCTACTATGGAATCATGTGTTGGTAAATTGGACTGATAAACTGTCGTGCACTATGCCCTGAACAACAATGACAAGAGAATAGGGAGCTCAAGACGTAAAATTGTATGTCCAGTACACTCAAATGATCAATTTCCGAGTGATAACAGCTATCTTCTACTTCTTAGCTTTAACAACAATTTCAAAATCTCCTTCCTAGTGAAGAAATTTATAATTACTATAAAAAAGTCTATCCTAAGCCTTTTTCTGAGCAAACTGTTTAAACTGGAATGACCTCTGCATTGTTACTGTGCTGCACCTGTGTCTTTACCGAGCATGTCATGTGTTAAGACCTAATGAGTCTATATTGTCTGTGAGTGTCTGGGGACCCCAGTAATGCATCTTTTTTAAGTCACATAAGGACATAAGTGAATGCCTGAATGGTCTTGCCTTACAAAATCTGGTCTTTTGCTGGTTACTGAGAAAGTCAAACTCTGAACCAACAATGTCTCTTCACACAGGACTTTATTCGAGGTGACCACTAGCCCTCTAAAAAACAGCTTCTGGAATTGCGATAGTGCTTTGATCGTACAAGTGGGGGAAATAATATGTGTGGAATGTGCTAGTAGTGGGGGCAATTTAGGTGTTAGGCAATTTAGGCATCTTGAGTCCGTGTTTGGCTTTGGAAGTGTTTCTTTGGGTCTATCAGCTGCTAGTAAACACTCAATATTTGTTTTTGATGTTATGATCAACTTTAAAGATTGTTAGAGATGCAACATAATCAATTTTCCAAGTTCCTGACAATGCACCTGAAGAAAAATGTTTTAGTTGTAAGATAGGGGTTAATCACAAGTTGGGGGCTGGGGGTGGGGGGAGGACTAAATGAGGCAGATTGAGCTTAATTCTGAGTTCTAATTTTCAGTCTAGGAGAGGGTTGGTTATAAAATAGAGGATTTCGGCTTTGAATTCACCACTACCCTAGGGATATTAATAAATCCATAGTTTGGATCATTGAGCTCTTGGTGGGAAAAGTTGTCACTGATTTTTGGAAATCTTGTTGAGCTTTCTCTTGCATGAATTGTTATTTACAATGCAGACAGGTAGCTGCAAAATCCTGGTGAATTTGTTGATCCCTTGAGTGTTTTGCTGAAGAGGGAGCATGTGAGATTGCAGAGGCCTGTGGCTAGGGGTGGAGTGGTGGGGAAGGCAGTCAAAAGAACATGTTTATGAGTTGGCTCAGACAATCTGAAGCTTTTCATTCCCTTCCCCTGAAAATATGCATTCACAGCAGTCAATTCATTGATATGTCCCTGAAAGAACATATGTGCTATGTTGTTTTGACTATGTGGACAGTTTTGACTATAGCTAGAACCTCTGAAAAACTTAGGGATTTGATGTGGAATGATTTGAAAAATTTCCTCATGGCTTCCCAAGACAACTTCATCAGTAAGTCACCTTGTGTGATGAAACTGCTATTTACCGATGGGCTGACCTCTACTACACTACGGGCAATTTGACTACTTATGTGAAGTAAACAATCCTGCCAATTTATGTTAATGATACTCTGCTTTCTCAGGGCATACTACACTGTACCTGGCAAATACTCTTCAAAACTGTTCCAGTTATCAAAAATAAAGATGTGAGAAATTGTTATAGTCAACAGGAGGCTAAAAACGCATGCCAACTAAGTGCAATGTGGTTTTCTGAAGGGAACCCTGAACCCCACAGACACTAAGTGAAAACCAAGGAACTCAAGATAGATGATAGATTTCAATGGACAGTTATGCATCAGTATTGGTTCATGTATTTAATTGTACTGAATGTATCACACTATTGTAAGATATTGGCACTTGGGCAAACTGCAGCGGGTCTACTATGTTGTAAATGTTCTGTAAATATAAAACTTAAAAACAATAGGATCTGGGAAAAATAACAACGTGGCCCCCAAACTTCAGGGAATTAGCAAAACAAATGCCCAGAAAAAAAATTATAGTGGCAAACATCCACATCTAATCCAGCCACAGGAGAAATATGGCTAGCACCTGGGGAGGGCCAGAAAGCCAAGAGATTTCCATACAGGCACGGTTTGTTGAGTAAACTCTGATCTTTCCAACAGGATGCTTGATTGGGGTGTTTGTGACAGTCGCCCAGTGAGAGACATCAGGTCCTCTCTGAGAGTGGGTAGATATTCTCTGTGAGACATTCAAGGAGGAAGGATGGCACGTTCTTTCTCTGAGCTCAGTTACTTGGATCTGAGTGTCCCTGATGGTCTGTAAGAGTTCAGCAGTGGTCTTTGCATTTCTTACTGATGGTTTCTTGCCCCATACTCGGGTCTACTGAGCAAAACACTGGCCCTGCATTAACCTTTGCCTGTGGGACAAGGAGTCTGTTGTAGTGTCCAGAGTAGGTCCCAGGAATGATGGGAAAGGGATTCTTGCTCACTTATTCTTTTATTATACAATTATTTATTATCTACTGTATAGGACAAGAATTGCTCTAAATTGCTACAGAAATAGCACTGAAGACAAAATCTACTTGGAACATAGGTTTAAATGAATAGGGGGGTGTGATCTGTGCTTATGTGTGGGGTGAACATACAACAAATAGATGCTCAATGTTTTATATAGTGATTGGTGCTAGGAAGAGACTATTGTGGATACAGAAAGGATCAACTTGCTTTTCTATTTGGGAGAGTTCCACTTTGTAGCAATCTAAAATGTATATAAAATAGTATACTTCCAATAAATCAGTGTTGTTATAATAAATAAGGCTACAAATGTAGAGAAATTTCTTTTTGTTGCAAAGCCTGATCTCTGGGGAAACATACATTTTCCATTTTAATCAGGTCCCTAGGATGTCCCAATTTATAACCCCCCTTGGGTCATACTGGCAGATGACTCTTTGGCTTTAGCAGATGATATTTACTACCCTCTTGGCTGGAGAGGACACTCAGGGCAAAGCCCCCATCAGAAAATACGATCTGTAATTCATCACTTCTCAGAGCCTAGGGTATGAATGTCTGTGGAGTATGCTGACTCCTTCAGTCCCAAACTCACCTAAACCAAAAATAATAACAAAAAAAATTAGCCCTTTCTGGAGAATAGGGGAGAGGAGTTAACAAGGTCAATATCGAAGTGCTGATGCAGAAGGGTGAGTGATAAATCTTCTCTGTCTTGTTTTTCTATAAGGGAGTCAAGGACTCATTGAAATACCACATCAGCTCTCTGCTGTGATGACCCTTGTCCCAGGAGTGGACCTGGTGAACTGTCCTAGCAAAAGTGCAGTAGAGATTTGATAAGAGTTTGATAAGAGTAAAAATTCCTGAATCTTCTGATTGTGGATCTTGCCCTTCATGTAATTTTTTTTTTTAAAGATTTATTTATTTGTGCATATAGAATTGGGGTATAGGCCAGAGGCTCAGGGACAGCGAGAGGCTTCACCAGAGACAGAGTGGGGAGCAGAATAGGCAGATTGATGAAGTACACTGCTGAGGGGAGCAGCGGGCAGGTCAGGAGAGGTCTGCCATGCCATGTGGTCACCTCCAGGGCAAGCGGGAACTGAACTCATGAGGAAGAGGCTTTAGCTTCTTAGTGCTGTGCTTTAACCCGCTGCGCCACCAGGGAGGGCCAACCTTCATGTAATTTTTAATGTACATCTTTAAGCATTCGCTTAGTCTTCATAAAATGGACAGAAGAAAGCACACAGAATGGTGAGCTTGAGTTGATGAGCTGAGCCCCTCTCTAGGACTCAGTATAGTGCGACTAGAAAGTGCTGGGAACTCATTTTAATATTATTCTTTTTCCCATTCCCACAGATACATCTTAGGGAAGAATGGTCTCAGGAAATGACTCTTTGGTGACCGAGTTTATCCTACTGGGTTTAACACAACAGCCAGAACTCCAGCTGCCTCTCTTCTTCATTTTCTTAGGAATTTATGTGGTCACCATGCTGGGGAACTTGGGCTTGCTTATTCTGATTAGTCTGAACTCCCACTTGCACACGCCCATGTACTACTTTCTCTTCAATCTTTCCTTTGTTGACCTCTGCTTCTCCTCTGTCATAAGTCCCAGAATGCTGATTAGTTTTATGAAACAGAACATTATCTCTTATGGAGAGTGTATGATTCAGCTCTATTTCTTCTGCTTCTTTGTTATTGACGAGTGCTGTATTTTGACAGCAATGGCCTATGACCGATATGTGGCCATCTGTAAGCCCCTGCTTTACAGAGTTGCTATGTCCCAAAAGGTGTGCCTCATGCTGATGGTGGGCGCATATATGATGGGCTCTGCGGGCGCTATTGCTCACACCGTATGCATGTTGAGACTCACCTTCTGTGATGGCAACATCATCGATCATTACATGTGTGACATACCTCCTCTCCTCCAGCTCTCCTGCTCAAACACTTATATTAATGAGCTGGTAGTTTTCATTGTCGTGGGCATCAATGTTATCGGGCCCAGTATCACCATCTTCATTTCTTACACCTTGATCATCTCCAACATCCTCCGCATCCGTTCTAAAGAGGGCAGGTCCAAAGCCTTCAGCACCTGCAGCTCCCACATCATTGCGGTTTCTCTCTTTTTTGGATCTTCCGCATTCATGTATCTTAAGCCTTCTCCTACTGGGTCTCTGGATCAAGATAAAGTAACTACAGTTTTTTATACCATCGTGGGGCCAATGCTGAATCCCTTCATTTACAGTTTGAGGAACAAAGATGTCCAAATTGCCTTACAGAAGACACTGAAGAAAAGTTTCTTCTCTTAAATGGAACCTGTTACTTATTATGCCAAATCCTAGTGAAGGAATGCATGTATAAAGTTATGGAGAGACTAAAAAGAAATCAAAAATAGAAACACAAATATTTTAAATAATGGGAAATTAATTATGTAGGTGATTTCACAAGGAAAGACTGTAAGGAAGAGGAGGATCAGTCCTTTACCCTTTCATAAGAAAGCATTGAAAGCATTAAGTTTTATCTTCTTCACCAGTTTATTGTTACATTATAAGGTTCTAAGTAGAAAACAATGAAGGATGACTAAATGAGAAATGAAAGGTTGTGAGAGTTTTGACAGTGACATGCCTGGAAATCCTGTGATGCTCTGTCATGTGCACATTGACGTTGATGGACTTGAGATGCAACCATTTATTTATTAATTTATAAACCTCTACTGAAAAGCTACTGAACTTGCAGAAGTGAGAGTGATCTATTTGAATGCTATGGGGGCTTTTAGTTTGGGAGATTCCATTGTTGCCCCAAAGGAGCTAAGTTTAGGGAGATGCTACTTCTCTGGTCTCTTCTTACCTTAGTCATAGAAAGTGTGGTAAAGAGATTTCCCTTAACTCCAGTTCCTAAGGTCATAAAACTGAGATAACTATTTTAGGGAAAATGGGAAACTCTTGAGACTTCTAGGCAGGATATGTGGGTAACACAGCATGTTATGGCTTCACTGGGGAGATTTTTACTAGAAATGTTTGTCAATAATAAACAGAGGTATTTTCTTCCCACAAATAGACTTTAAAAATAATGTACTGTCAGAGTTTTTCTTTAATTCATTTTCCTTTTTCCAGAGGTTTATATGGTAAAATGCTACAACAATTTAATCAACAGTTGAGCACCTATCCTGTATCAAGTTTTCTTTATAAACATCAGATATACATTGAACAAGACAGACTTTGTTCATCTGTGCACAGTAAGGTGGAGTTGGGGAGTGGAGGGCAGAGGAATCAGATAATGAGCAAATAAACTAACAGATGCATATGAATCAATCTGAAGTAGCTGTGCAGAGCCTTGTATTTAGGAGGAATGCAGAGAATTGCTATAGTATCACTCTAGGGGTGGGAAGGGCTTTTCTGAAGGTGAGCATAACAGCTGAGATCTCACCCACAAAAGGGGCAAGCTCATGTAGAGCCTTCCAGGCAGAGGGGAGGTTGGAAGTAATAACATGGATAAGTGTGAGTACTGACTAGTCAGAAGCTGTGGGATGTCAACTGAAACAGGACAAGTTAGGTAGAAGTAGTCTTGATCTTGTCTCTTTATCCACTAGATATAAATAGCCTGAAGGGGAAAGAACACTAGATTTGAAACCATGTGATTTGGTTCCATTTCAAATTATGTAGTTTTCATGCTCTGTATCATCTTAGTCTTAATTTTTCATGGCTAATATTTCAAAATGCAAAGGTACAGACCAAATGGAGAAAAAAACATTTGTAAGAAGTACTGGATACTTTTACTATTTGAAAAAAATCACATTCCATTGACTAAAAAATATGCTTTTTTCTCACATGACTTAACCTAACATTAGTGTGCATCTTCTGATCATTGACACCTGCTGCAGTTCTGCTGCCTTTGCAGTTCTTGTGAAGTACAAACTTGAGCAGAGTTACCCACCTGTTGTCTGTGCAATTGGGTCAGCAGCATTGGTAGTAACTCATGTATGGAGTTATGCCACTTAAAATTCTTTAGTTTATAGTATAGTTTACTATACTATTAAGTAAAAATTGAGAATGTTGAAAACTATAGCTTCACTTACAGTTGCTGTACAGCACAGATGTATAAAATTATGTCGGCATAAAAATAATGAAATTAAACTTGATTGGTAGAATGCACAATTGCGTTTATCAGTCTGCTTATCATCTATCTGTCCATCTATCATCTATTTATTGCAGAAGAACAAGAAAGTTTTATAGATCCCAAGAAAGAAGATACTCACAAGTCAATGAAACTGCACCGTATTTCATTACTGAGACACATGTAAAAGAATGGCTTATACATGAAAAGCAATGTAACCAAAAACAAGATGAATTGAATATTTTGTCACATGTCACTGTTTAGATACTTCTAAAAGCATACTTATATTAAGTATAAAATAGACATTCTAAGAGGCATGTGATAATGTCAATGTGTGACTGGCAAGTTTTTATTTCTTAGTGGTAAAAGTATAATGTCATTTTTACCAATGATGACCTCAAAGTTTCAATGGTATTCCATGTTGTCATTCCTCTGTTTGGTTAATAATTGTTATGGGATGAACTGTGTCCCCCAAATTAATTCATTTGTACTTTAACTCCTGGTACCTCAAACTGACTGTTTTTGGAAGAAGGTATTAAAGATGCAAATGTTTTAAAATTAGGCCATTTATCCAACTTGACTGGTGTGCTTATAAGAGGAAAGCTGTCCACACAAATTAGCACGAGGGGCATCTGTACATGTACACAAGACAAAGACCGTGTAGGGACAGAGAGGAAGGTTAGTCATCAATACGCCACGCGGCCCTGCCTTGGAAAAAAACAGACCAGCTGGTGCCTTGGATTTTGGACTTTAAGCTTCCAGAGTCATGAAAAGTAAATTTCTCTTCTTTGAGAATCTTGTCTGTGATATTTTGTATGGCATCCCTAGCAAACTACACAACACATAATATAGTTACTTTGAATTTCACAAGTATTTTAATAGTATATCACAGAGTGAGTATTTTTATGTTTGTGTGGTATTAGGGGTTTTTGAGCAAATTTTACCAGAATCTAGGTCACACCACAGCACTGGAGAGGTTGGAGGCATGTGCCCCTCCTCTTTCTCACTGGGCAGAGGTGCCAGGTAAAGCCATCTCAGAACAGGACTGTCTTCAGTAAGCTGGTGGCTCCATTCATTTGCTGCTTTCTGACACCAGATACCCAAACCCTTCTGGTATCATTAGGGTTTTGGGTTAGGAGAAAAAGAGAAATCCATCCCCTGTATCTTGAGAGAAATGTGTGTGCTGCTGTTGTTGGATGCTAGCCATCTCCATTCTATGCCTCCAACAAGACCAAGATGGTTTGCCGTTCAGGTAATACTAACTCAACTGACTTTTCTGTTGCTTGATATTTATCACTCTATAATGCCTCTCTTTATTAAGCTGATTAAATATCTCTGGTGAGCTTTATTTTTCTTAAGTCCACTTTCTGAATTTAGCATAACTACTCCTACTTTCCTTTGAGTGTTGGGATATATATATTTCCATTTCATTTTTTTTTCCCTCATGGCAAATACACTTTTACTACATTCTTTAAAGAAAACATTACATTAAAGCAACACTAGTTTATGGCTATATGTAGATTTCAAGTGTGTGGCATTACAGTTCAACAGTTTGTATGTAACATTGTGATCTTCACTAAAAGTCTAGTTTCCATCCTCTTTTAACTATGCGTTTATGTTTAAAATGAATTTCTTATAGAGAGCATACAGTTGGTACTTGCTTTATTATCCACTTTGAATAAAGCTAGACCATTCACATTTGAAGTGATTATTAATATAGTTGGATTAATAGCTATTATTAGATATTACCCTGCTATCTACTTGTATATGTGTTTTTCATTTTTTTTTAATCTTCCTCTCCTTTTCCTTCCTCCCCAGGTTTTATATTTTTATAAAATACAAAAGTGTACTTTATATTTCACAATTATTTTAGTTTTCCTCCCCTACCAAAGCTGTGATAGTTCTCAGATCTTCATTATGGGAACATAGTGGGGTTTCTGGTGTGGCAGTCCCCCTAATCTGTGGCCCCTGGAAGTTCATTACTATCTCTTCAGTCTGTACTTAACCTCCATAAATTTATGAAAAACGCCATTTAAACTGTTCCACAAGGTTATGGAGTCAGAGAATGATTCATGTAAGCTGATCTTGCCTGTGTCTGTTGATGAGCTGATCTCTTCACACTCAGTTCACTTCATACTTCCAACCTCATTTCTCTGATACAAGAAAATTATCAGATTTTTTTTTCCTCCTAGCATTTCCTTGTTATAATGATGGGAGTCACCTTCCATATTCTCTGTATTCCTTATCTGAAACCAAAGTCTTCAATGTGTTTTTTTCATGGATTATTTTGAAGTGTGTTATTCAGTTTCCATGAGTTTTCCTGTTATATCTCAGATTTTCCTGTTCCATTTTGTTCTATTTGTATCTTGATTTCATTGTAATCTTAGAACATACTGTGCATGATCTCATTTCTTATAAATTTATGTTTTTTTTCATCACCCAGGATATGGGAAATCTTAGAATATGTTCCACAAGTGCTTGAAAAGTATATGTATTCTCCTGTTTTTGAGTGGGATAGTCTATAAATATCACTTAAATCCTGTTGATTGATGGTCTTCTTGAGTTTATATCCTTTTTGATCTTTCAATATTTCTAGCAATTGTTGAGAAGAGTGAGACTCTCTAAACATAATCTTATTTTCTTATTTAACCTTTGAATTTTGTTAGTTTTTATTTTACATATTTTTAGTTCTGTTTTCTGAGTATAGACTATTCTATTGATGCATATAATGTGTATGTGCTATTTTAGAAAGCTCTAATAGCTTTTTTCCCCCCTATGGAATCTATTTTATCTGTTATAAACATAGCCATCCATATTTTCATCTTACATTTGCCTGTAAATTTACACCCACCTTTTTCATTTTCCCTTTTACTATGTTTGAAATATGTTATAGACAGAATTTAAATAGAAATTATTTATAGTAATCTGTCCTATACTTATGAAATAAACAAGGGAGAAAAGATATTTGTTCTTCCAGGACTTAAAAATTTGGAGAAGCACAAGAATTAAGGATTTGAATTTGATGTGTGTGCTTATGGAGGATCTACTAGAGCTTCTGAGAACATAAATAATGATAGTCATTGACTATATACCATGTGTTAGGACTTCTATAATCCATTCACTTATGTTTTCTCATTTGATTGTCTTAACTTAATGAAAGTATGCTAGTTTTTACAATTCCTATTATACAGAGTTGAATCAGAGGAAGTAATTTGCTGAAGGTATTATAGTTCATAAGAATGCACATAAGATTCTTCTTTTATTTATTGCATAGAACTAGGGCTAGATGTGTAGGGATAGTGGGGAGGGATGAAAGGATTCACCAGGGACAGAATGGGGAGCAGAACAGGCAGAATTACTGCAATAAACTGCTAAGGGGAGGAGTGAGTGAGGCAGGAGAGGTCTGCTGCACTGTATGTGGGTCAGCTCGTTGGGTGGGGACCTAACTCAGGTTGTAGTAGTCATAGCGCGAGAGGTCCCCAAGTGGAGATAAGATTCGTGCATGTATCCTCTAACCCAATAGTTTCTATTTTCCTTCACAGGGAGAATAAATAGATGCTCGTAGTTACTGAAATATTACGTAAAAGTTTCAAGCAGAATGATCAAGTAAAAATTTTTAGTAGGTATTCACAAGTTAAACTTTAAATAGAATACATGACATTGCAAATAATTTTAGCTGTATCCCAGGCAACAGAAAATGGAGGTAAGCTGCTGAATCTTGAAAATTTTTGGATGAAGAAATAAAGAAAACTGGAGGCAAAACCCTTAAGAAAAATTCTATTTAGGGCATGGGAAGATAAAGGAAAAGAAAACATGTAATAGATTTCCTGTAAAAGGTGAAGCTTACAATGAGTTGGGAGTTCATCTTTGGTATTTTTTTGGGAGACATGTAATCCCTGGAGTGGTGGGAAGTGGAGTGAAATATTGAATCCCTAAGGAACTCAGGACTGATGATGGTACAAAATGTAAATACAGTCCTATTATGTTCCTTTGCCATAGAGAGTTTATTCCCTAGGCAGCGACAGAGGAAGCTTCTACTCTTTTTATAAGAGGGGCAATTTATTATTAAATTGACATGTATCTTTAACTTACAAAAGGCAAATGTGACCAGAAGTAAGGCTTTGTTTTCCTCTGATTCTTGAGAAGACTCTAAGTGATAATCAGAAATTGTGATCTGTAGTTAAGACTTTCAGGGCAGATGTCCAAAATTAAGTCTATGAAGCAACCTGTTAGAATCAGTGGAACTAGCAACCCAGAGCCTGAACTGTCTATCCAGGACCACTCCAGTAAATAACAAATGCAGCATTGAGATTTTCTGGCCTTCGAGGGTGAGTTCCTGAATTCCATTTATGAAAACCCCTCGTGAATCCAGAGCTAAAAGCTGAGGCCCTTTCTGTCCCATTTTGTTTAGTTCTGAGATTCAGGAGAGATTGGAAGAAGAATCTGTTTCAAGGAAGAGCAGAGAGTGTGCTATGATATTAAGTGGCTCAAAGTGTGTAGTGTATCATAAGTCTCCAAGAGTGGACCTTCCACTTCTACAGTTTTGATTTTTCTCAATGACATGAGAGTAACTTTACCTCTCTTACAATCTGGTTCCCACCCAGTAAGTCTAATTTGCAAAAGATAATCAGCTTCATGTATTGAGGGTGGTTGCCCCCATATTTTCCTAGTGAAGGGAGGGTTTGAAACTAATGAAAATTGGATGGAAGAAGATTCTTTTTTTGATCCATCCTTCCTTTCCCTCAACCTTGTTCTTTTACCATCAGCAATGTTTGCATATACACTGGCTTTCCATTTGTAGTTTATGTTGTCTTTTGCCTTATTTTGCTTATAAGGGCTCTCATATAGGGAAGTTAGTGTCACTTGCGTTATTATAATGGTAAAATGAAACGTAAAGGTCAAAATTGGGCTAGTCTCAGATATTTCCAACATGTGTGTTGGCAGTAGATACTGCGGTAATATCTGGATTTTCCTTGAATGTAATCATTTTTTCTGTGCTCACAGATACCTGTGGAGAAGAATGGCTATTGTCAATAGCTCTTTCGTGACTGAATTCATCTTGGTGGGGTTAACAGACCATGCATTATTCCAACTCCCTCTCTTCCTGCTGTTTCTAGTAATTTGCATGATTACTGCATTGGGTAATGTGGGCTTGATAAGTCTAATTGGGCTGAACTCACACCTGCACACTCCCATGTACTTTTTTCTCTTTAATTTATCCATTGTAGATCTCTGTTATTCCTCTGTGTTTTCACCCAAGATGCTGATTAACTTTATATCAAAGAAGAATGTTATCTCTTACATGGGGTGCATGACCCAGCTTTTTTTCTTAGGTTTTTTTGGTATTTCTGAAGCCTATGTACTGACATCAATGGCTTATGATCGCTATGTGGCCATCTGTAACCCACTCATGTACAACAGTGTCATTTCTCCTAAGGTCTGTTTCAGCCTTATACTTGGTTCATGTTTGATAGCATACTCAGAAGCCATGACTCACACAGGGTGCATGTTGAGACTGACCTTTTGTGATGCAAACACCATTAACCATTATTTGTGTGACATTCGCCCTTTGCTAGAAATCTCCTGCACGAGCACCTATGTTAATGAGCTGATAGTTTTCGTTTTGGTGGGCATCAATATCATTGTACCAAGTCTCACCCTCTTTCTCTCTTATGGATTCATCCTCTCTAGCATCCTCCGCATCAGCTCCAAGGAGGGCAGGTTCAAAGCCTTCAGCACCTGCAGCTCCCATATAACTGTTGTTTCTCTCTTCTTTGGATCAGCTGCATTTATGTATCTCAAACTATTTTCAGTGGGTGCTATGGATCAGGGGAAAATCTTCCCTGTCTTTTATACCAATGTGGTTCCCATGATGAACCCTTTAATCTACGGTTTGAAGAATAAAGATGTTAAAATTGCTCTGAAAAAAACTCTGAGTAGGAGAAAGATTTGATAAGCAGTAGTAAATTCATGCCTGTAGATATGATTGGTAGCTTCTTGTTCTTTGATTACAATAGTTTATATGGTATCTATGTTACTATGGTAGGAACATTGAGGTTTCTCTCTAATTTTTTTTAATAATAATTTTCCTTCCTCACTTTTTCATAACTTGTTCTACCTTTTCACTACCTGTTTAAGAATTACATTAAAGACTCAATGTATTTCTTCTTTTTTCCATTTCAATTTATGGGGGTTGACTTTTTTTCTGCTGGAAAAAGAATAAATCCACAGATGATTGAGTAAAGTAACACTAGCATGATAATATGCTATTATGGGGTGTCTTAGCTGCTATTTGTAATAAGCCCATGGACTCAGGGGTCACATAATCCTTATTTCTATCTCCATCCTTATCTGGAACGTGACTACTGTAATACCATCAGAATTTTGCAGATATTACACCTAATATCTGCAGATATTACAGGTATAAAGTTTTTGTTAAAGTTAACTGTGACTAAGCTTTAGCAAAAGCAACTTAGCTGTGCTTTTTGTTTATTGAACCAAACACATGTAGTGGTATTTCTTTCAAAGGTGTGGGGAACCATGTCAAGGTTTGTCAAAGGCACAGATAGTTATCTCTGAGGGAAAGTCTTGTCAATAGATGGTGCTGGGAAAAACGGATCAAGAAAAAAGTGAAATTAGACTACTATGTCACATCATAAACAAAAATCAGCTCAAAATGGATATAGACCATAAAACCTGAAAATACATAGGTAAAAACAGAACTCTTCATGTTTTAGACTTAAGAAATATCTTCGAGGACTTTTTTTTCCAAAAGAAGGGAAACAAAAGAGAATAAATAGGTGGGACTACATCGAGCTAAAAAGCGTCTGAAAGCAAAAGAGAAGTAATCAAAGTGATGAGGCCCCTTACTGAATGGGAGAAAGCATTTGTACACCATACATCTGATAAGGGACTGATATCAAAGATCAATAATGAGCTCACACAACTCACCAACAACAAAAAAAGCAAACAACCCAATCAAAAAAATGGGCAGAGGAGCTAACAGTTCAATAGAAACATGAAAAAATGTTCAATATTACTAATTATCAGGGAAATGCAAATCAAAACCACAATAAGGTAACACTTCACATCTGTGACAATGATCCATATTAAAAAACAAATAATAACAGAACAAGTTATCAGTGAGGATGTGGAGAACAAGGAGCCCTCTTACACTGTTGGGAAAATGCAAACTGGTCCAGACACTGTGGAAAGCTGTGTGGAGATTTCTTCAAGCGCTAGAGATGGTGGTTGTGCCTGGAGCCTGAGTTCTCTTGCAATTGTGTGTACAGGTGACAACCCACAGACATGACCTATCCTCTTATTGGGCTCTGCCTTTTGTTAGGCTGTAGCCCATAGGTCCCCATTGTGTGGGTGTTGGATTGCGATAGCCCTTGATTTTGATTTTTGGCCTTTTGGGGCTCTTTGATGACTTTCTTGTCTCAGAGCTAGGGTAGGCGGTTGGCTGTCCATCATTCCATACAGCCTCCTACTTTCTTGGCCCCTTTCTGTCCCTTTCAGATAGTATACATTAAGCTTCCCAGTTTAATGACATAACTCCTAAATGATTGTTTTTCATAGTGATTATACCAATTTACAATGCTACTAATAGTTTACAAGCATTCCCTTTTCTCTCCTTCTTCAAGACCATATTAAAAAAAAAAACCTATAGCTGTTGTACTCTGGTGAAAAATTAAAGGCTTATTTACATTGTTAAGAAACAAGTTCAGGACCCTCCCTTTTTGCATATTTAAAATTAAAATTTAAATATAATCTTTGGTTTGCTTGAACAACATTTGTTCATTATACCCTGTAGTCTCTGAAATGTACACATTTTCCAACATTTGTTATATTTGTGAGAACCCTAAAAATTTGTATAATATTTGGCATATACAAAATACTTACATCAATTAAAATAGTTTTCTCATGGTCTGTCACCAAATATATGTCTACATTTCTTCCTTAACTTTAACCAAGACTTAATCATAGTTTTGAAATTTGCACTTTCCATTTATTATCAAGTGGGTAGTTGGAAGCCATTGAAAGTTCTTGAGTTAGAGAAAGACAGAGTGGTGCTTTCAGAACTTGTTCTAGGGCAGTGTGCATGATAAGTAATATGTAGGGAAATGAAAGAGTAATAGTTTGGTGCCATTACAATTCAGCGGTACAATTCAGTTAAACCCTAAAAAGGTAAAAGCTATATAGTGGCAGAAGATATGAATGGAGTCATTGTGGTTGTGGATGTTATTGTTTAGCATGTGAGAAATGTGGAGTATATCTTTAAATTTCTTATTCAAGGAACATTAGATTTAGATTTTTTTTTTGTTCTTTAGTGTTTCAGCTGCAGAAGCAAAGAACATATTTTACTGCTTATAGAACTTGATAGGGAATACAAAAATCATTAAATGTCTGAGGGTTATGATGAAGAATCTACTGGAATTCATGAGATCATAAATAATGACATTTATAGACCATTCACTATATGCCAGGCATTATTTTACTTACAATAATTTAATTACTACAGCACCCAATGAAAGGGATGCTACTCTTACTACTCCTATTTTCAAAGATAAACCAGAGGAATAGAGAGATTTAGTAATACCCAAGGTATTTTAGCTATTGAGTGGAAATAGGAACTTAAGATTCAAAACACTCTCTCATCTCAGTCTTTACCTTTTTTTCTTTTTTAAAAAATTTATTTTCATTTATGCATACAGAACTGGGGTCAAGCCAGAGGTGCAGGGGCAGTGAGAGGCTTCACCAGAGACAGAGCGGGGAGCAGAACAGGCAGATTGACGAAGTACACTGCTGAGGGGAGCAGGGGGCGGGTCAGGAGAGGTCTGCCGTGCCATGTGGGTCACCTCTAGGGTGGGGATTGAACTCATGCAGAAGTGGCTTTAGCTTCTTAGTGCTGTGCTTTAACCCACTGCACCACCAGAGAGGGCCTCTTCTTGTTCTTTTTAACTGGGGTGATCCTGCATTACAACTTAGGCAAGTTTTAGGTATTCACAAATGAGAATCAGTATGCATATATGCTATATTAAGTAGGATTTAGAGCATACTCTGTTCTATGATGAGAGAAACTAACAGCAATTGAATTGTGGCACATAGTCAGGGATATGCAAGTTAAAATCTCTAGTTGGCACATAAAGGAATGAACTTTGGAAAGGATATACACTGCCAATTATTTTACACCCATGCCAGGAAAGCATGACTAAAATGAATTATTATGTTTGAAAAGTTCATGAAGTCTGAAGGTAGAAATAATGCCCCCATATTATTTTTATCTATGGGGATAAAGGAGGAATGATGATATAGTAGATTTATCTTCAGAAATAAAAATGATAGGGAGATGGGAGTTTACTTTGGACTTACCTGAAGAATGTACCTTCTCCAGACTGAAAATGTGAAAATGTACAAAACATTGAGTCCCTGAGGAACTGAAGAGAGTTCCTGGATATATAATGAGCATATTCCCTTTTGCACATTGACTATATTCCCTATGGAAAAGATGAAGCAAGCTTCTACCTTGTTTATAATCAAAAGCACTGATAACAAAAATGGGGTATTAAAAAACTTCACTTTGCTGCTTGAGGGGACTCAACATCATAATCAGAAATGATGATCTGTGACTCAGAAGATTTCCATGGTTTATCTGAATTTAAGCCTCTTAGAATAATAGGAATCAAATTGCCTTTCTCAAACTATCAAGGTCAATTCAAAAGATCCAAGAGTACTGAGATTTTCTGATCTATGGATGGTGAGTTTCTAATATTTATAACAATCTACATATCAATCGTATAATATTTACTGTTTTGAGGTAGACATTCAAAGACCTAAGATCTGCCTATTTTTCTGTTTAGTGCAGCTCTGAGATTCAAGCGAAATTGGTGCAAAAATTTGTTCAAGGGGGATCAGAAGCAAAGGAGGTACAGGCAGAGCAGAAGATGAGTCAGTAAGTCCCACCCCAGTGAAAGATGCTCTAACTTTCTATAGTTACGGCCTTTTCTGAGGTATGGGCAGAAATCCAACTTCCCCTACACTCTGGTCCCCTTGCTTTTAGATTAGAAGCTCTGTTCTTGGTTTTCACTGCATCACATATAATTAGCATTAGAAGTCAGCACGCTAAAGACTCTGACTCTAATCTTACTGGTGAGAAGACTGGTGAAGTGAATGAAGAAATGGTGTAAGAATCAAAGATGATTCTGTCCTGGTTGAAAATTTTCTCCCTTGATTTTTCTAAGTCATGTTTGTGTATGGCAGCATTGCTATACTTGTATAGAATAGATTAGATTCTCTTTGTTCTATTTGGCTTCTTTAGCCTCCATGAAGGGTGCATTATTGTCATTCAATAGCATCATAGTGGGACCCGTATCATCTATGGCAGGGCAAGTATCAGGCTTTTCTAGTGAGCATACTCTTTTAGGATGTATAGGTAAAATACTGTGGGAAGAGCTTTATTAGGGCTGCTTGCTAAGGTAACCTTTTTCTCCCTGAATTCACAGATTTCCTTCCAGAAAAATGGCTCCTGGAAATGGTTCTTTCGTTACTGAATTCATTCTCATGGGTTTAACCAATCAACCAGAACTTCAGCTCCCCTTGTTCTTCCTGTTTCTAGTAATGTATATGATTACCATGATAGGAAATGTGGGTTTGATATCATTAATTGGGTTGAATTCACATTTACACACCCCAATGTACTTTTTCCTCTTTAACTTGTCCTTTGTAGATCTCTGTTATTCTTCTGTGTTTACACCAAAAATGCTGGTTAACTTCATATCAGAGAAGAATATTATCTCCTACATGGGTTGCATGACTCAACTTTATTTCTTCTGCTTTTTTGGCATTTCTGAATGCTATGTGCTCATATCAATGGCCTATGATCGCTATGTGGCCATCTGTACCCCACTCACCTACAACAGTGCCATGTCTCCTAAGGTGTGTTCCAGCCTTATGCTTGGTTCCTACTTGGTGGCATTTTCTGGAGCCATGGCTCACACAGGGTGCATGCTGAGACTAACTTTCTGTGATGCAAACATCATCAACCATTATTTTTGTGACATCCTTCCTCTGCTTCAGCTTTCCTGCACTAGCACCTATGTGAATGAGCTGGTAGTTTTCATTGTGGTGGGCACCAATATCATTGTGCCCACTGTCACCATCTTTGTGTCTTATGGCTACATCCTCTCCAGCATCCTCCGCATCAGCTCCAAAGAAGGGAGGTCCAAAGCCTTCAGCACCTGCAGCTCCCACATCATTGCTGTTTCTCTCTTCTTTGGATCATGCATATTTATGTATCTCAAGCCATCTTCTGCTGGGTCTATGGGTGAGGGGAAAATATCTTCTCTCTTCTACACAAATACAGTTCCAATGATGAACCCCTTAATATATAGCTTGAGAAACAAAGATGTTAAACTTGCTATGAAAAAAACTCTTGGTAGGAGAAAGTTGTGATCCAAAACACTTTGATTTTGCAGACAAAGAGTCTGTATTATAATCACAATAATTTTATCAGCAGATTCTTATCTATTCTTTCTTACCAGGTTACTAACTTATATCCAGTCTTTATAGACCATGTCTTCTTGTTCCTTTTTTTTAACAGTTTCTTGTTTTCACACTTTTTCATGGCTGATAATACTATTAAGGAATGCATTTATTAACTGTTCATTTATTCTTTGTCATTTTGAACCTTTTCTCTGGAATTAGAAGATTGCATTTCAAGTGTTCAGATCAAGGAACACTGGGGTGAGATTGTTATTGACAATGTCTTATTTGTCACTTGTCATTGGAAGAAAGAAGCAGAAAATATGCCTCTAAGGGTTTATATGATAATCACTTCTACATTATCTTGATCTTTCTGTGAGCAGTTGAAGAATACCATGAGTTCTTACTTAAATGATAAAGCTATAAAGAAAAGCTAGAGAATGGTTGCAGCAGAGCAGGGAAGGATAAATGGAACTACTGTCAAGCAGAGCTGTGTAGAGGGTTCTGGAGTGTTGGCAGAATTTTATTTATATATTTACATGATTGTCAAAAGCTGTGCACTTTAAATTATGAGAAGTGTATATATTTTGTAGTATTTTAATATGTACTCATGTTAATTCTCACAATAAATTAAGGTTACAAAATTTTGATATATCTCTGCTTAAGCTGGATATGAAACTAATCAATGTGCAAAATAAAATTGTAGTACTAGCTGTAGAGAACAGCCTTTCTAAAACAGAAGACTCTCTCAGAAGACACCATCAGAGGCAGGCTAATATTTGGAGTGATTCAGATGAGTCGGAGTGTGGCCAGTCCTTGACCACACTTGATGGAAATTTCTATCAGTGTCTCTGGGAGGTGGAAAGTCATTATAGTCCCATTGTACAGATTTGTAATAGGTTATATGTCATTATGTTTAATGAAAGAATATAGTTCTCATTCTGTATTATACAATTTCAACTTCTAATTTTTTACATAAAGTATTTCCTTAAATAAATTCTTCAATAATTATTTTTGATGCCTGTAATGAAATGAATTTGAAAATGGAAATATTGTGTCATAAAGGAAACTGTACTTCATCACCAGAAGTCTCATAACACATTATTAATGAATCAGAGCCAGGTTTCACAATTATAATTCAAGTTCAGAGGTGATTCAATTAAATGTTCTGTTGCTTCCCAGAGTATTGGGTAAGGTTTATTTATTTATTTATTTAAATATATTTTAGGTATATAAGATTTGTTCCTGGAGATTAGGGTAGACCTGAATCAGAAGGTGAACTTCACCTTCAGTTAAGTGGAGAGTGAATAAGTAGTTGACCCCTAGTTTTGTCTGCAGAAGCTCACAATGCAACCATCAGGAGTTTTACTTTTATTCAGCAAGTCACAACTGGGAACTTGCCATGGTTTGAGAACCTATGATTTTATATTTATATATGTCATGGTGAAACATGTTGAAAGTAGAAACGAACAGTTGTAGTTATTGCTGGGAATGATGAAGGTAAAAGAAATAATTAGACTCGAATGGGGTAATTATGCAAATGAAATACCAAGGAAAAGAGGTCCTGTATCACTAACATTAGGATGAAGAAATGTAAAAAGGGTTAATTTTACTGTAACAGAACTCTTGTATATTTTCCATGTTTTCTCCTGTGGATCCTTCTGTCCTTTGTCATGTGATTCCTTAAAACTGTGTGAAGCTTTGCTTCTTTGATTTAAATCTCATTGCTAAGACATCTATTAGGAGCATCTACCAAACCATACTATAAGTACTTTTTAATATCTATTTGTTGCTCTCAATAAATAAGGAACACCAGAAGCAGATTCTTTCATTTAATGAGTAACTGCATAGAGTATGACCCAAAAGTTATTGATGAAAGAAATCATGTATTAATTGTACCAACTGAATTTGAGGTACAGAGAAGGAAACAAAATTAAGTAAAACTTTAAATGCTCTCACCACTCAGTAATACAGCTTTGCCATTGATTTTAGTGTGTTGATTTTATACCTTGTTGTTTTACTGTTGCATTAGCTCAAAGAGAGCTTTGGCAGGTTTTTAGGACTTTCAAATTATGTTATGATCAAATGGAGGGGTGGAAGCAAGACTTGGCAGACTAACTCTGTTGCAGATTCCTCTCCAGGAACAGCTGATACAGCGAGCACAACCTCACCTGAACTTACTTAACTTGTATAAGTGAAATTTTACTTTTAGACTACCAGTTCCCAGATTTGTTTGCCATCCACACACTGTAACCATATTTCATTCTCCATTGATCAGGTTGATTATTTTAGATTCCTCATCTATATGTATGTGTATGTGTGTTTGGGAACATTATCCAGTCTTTAAAAATAAAGAAATTCTGTGACTTGTGAGAGGGATGAAACTGAAGACCATTAGGTTAGGTTTATAAACTAGACACAGCAAGACAAATACTGTACAATATGACATAGATTTTATCTCTCTCTATATATACATACAAAGCAGTTTTACAAGGAAATTCAATCTTTATTTTTGGTGCACTTCCATTCTGGTTTTCCATTGTTCATTAGTGTGCATTTCCACTAACAAAGTAGGAGGATTCCTTGTCCCCCATATCCTTGCCTACAGTTGTGTTTTATTGTTGTTGAAAATTTTAAAATAGAAAGTCTGTGGATCCAGTTATCCCACCTCTAGGAATTACCTACGAAAATACAAAAGCACTAATTGGAAATTGGAAGAGATTTGAAGAGATGCTCATCACAGCATTATTCACAGTAGCCAAGAGATGGAAATCACCTAGGTGCTTAGTGACAGATGAGTAGAAAAAGAATACGTAGCATATATACTCAGTGGAATACTGATCAGCTATAGCAAAGGATGGAATCTGTCATTTACAACAAAATGGATGGACCTCGGTGGCATTATGCTAAGTCAGAGGGAGAAAGATAACGCTGTATGATTTCACTCGTGTGGGTGATTAAGAAACAAGACTAATGAATAAATAAAATAAAACTTTTGTTATTGTTAGGCAATAAGAACAAAATATTGAGTATCACTACAATTTGTAAATCAGGTAAAGGGGATCAATTATATGTTGAAAGATGAAAACTAGATTGTTAGTAAATATAGGATACAGAGATGTTGGCTTACAATGATGTAAATCTGAAACATATATAATGTTGTAAACCAATACTACTATGATAAAAATTTCAAAAGTTATATTAGAGGAAAACCAATTTATGTGACTTAATTATAAAATTTGCAGTTATACCTATAAAATTAGGAACAATAGAAAAAACAGTCCATTTCTATTTGTTAGTTTTTTTTCCCATTTTTAAATAAAATTTCAAAGGCCCAGTGGGTAATGTAAAGCTGATGAAAGCTCTTGAACTAGATAAGGACAGAATGTGTTGTCAAATCTTGTTCAAAGCAGTGTAGAAGGATAAGTAAAAGGGAACATGTAAGAATATCCTTACATAATAGTTAGTACTCACTAAAATACTGTAATAGAGGTAAGTTAAAACCTAAAATTGCCAGAATATGGGGTGACTGCGGAAAGGGAATGGGGGTAATATTGATTGTACACTCTATTGCTTAGAGACTTCTTAGCTTAGTATATGAGAAATGTGGACAATATTCTGGAGGTATTCAAACAGAAAACACCGTCAGGTTCAGAATATAAAATCCTATTAGCTGTCTCTGTACTGTACTTGTCAAATTAGATAAAAACATGTTTGCTCCTATAGAGTTTATAATTAGTTGGGAACACAGCAATAAGGTTTAAAAAGTCTGATGAGTGTTATTGCAGAGGACCTGCTGGAATTTAGAGACATAAATAATGACTCCTGATACTTACTGAATATTTACCATAGATCAGACGATACCATGGGCCTAACTATTTAACTCACATTTTGATTTGATCATCATAACAATTCATGGAAGAAATGCTACATTTAGCATTCCTTTTATTTACAGAAAGAAAAAAGCACAAGAAATGCATAATGTACAGTAGTTAGTATGATGATATGTTACATGTAAGATCCTAGCAGATCTTCACAGTAGAAATTTCTAGTTATTTCAAAGTTAGAACTTTAAAAGCAATATGTGACACTGGAAATTACTTAGATATACCACAGAGAGACATTTGAGAGGAGATTCTGTATCTTGATGTTTCAGAAAAATAAATAATCCTGCAGGATTATTTATTTCAGGATTTTCTGAAATTTTTTTCAGAAAAATTTCCACTTAGTATATGTGAAGAAAGAGGACATAAAGCAATGTTTCCCAGCAGAGGTGAAAATAATAGGAAGTGGGATTTTATTTTAGGCTTTGTCTTGAGAGATTCATAATCCCTAGAGAGATGGTAAAACTTGAGTCAAATATTGAGTCCCTGAAAATTAAAGACAGATCACTTAGCCCAGGCTGTAAATACAGTCCTGTTATTTCCCTTCTCCATATAGATCTGTTCTCTGCGATGAAACTGAGCAAGCTTCTACTCTATTTATAGCCAGGTAATTATGTCATTAAACCCACACTCATCTGTAGCTTACCAAGTGGCATAGAGGAAGATACGAAGAAAGATGCCTGGTTTTCTTTGTTGCCTGAGAGTCATAATCAGAAACTAGGATCTATAGTTCAGAAAGATTTCTGGGCAGACCTGAAATTAAATCTGTGCAGCATCCCACTAGAATCAATGGAACCACTTCAGAGCCTGAAATTGCCAGTCCAGGACCATGGGGAAAAATAGCAGTGAGAAGGAAGCACTATGCGTGGCAAGGAGGGTGAGTTCCTGAGTTCCATGGATGCAATGCCCCCTTGAGAGGTGGGGACCCCGAGACGGAAGCTGTGCCCTTTTCTGCCCCATTTTGTTTAGTTCTGAGTATCAGGAGAAACTGGTGGAAGAAGGGACTAGGCGAGGATGTTCACAGATACTGAGTGCCTTGGGTGGGGGGCGGTGCAGTAAGTTTTCTTTCCTTGAGTGGGATGTTGACTTGCATACACTTGTCTTCCATGCTGTGACAAAGCAGGAGCTTCATCTCTCCTAGAATCTGCCCTCACCTTTGTTTGAAACTGTGTTCTCCTGTCTGCTCACCAGTCTCATGTCACTGGGGGCCAGCTCCTTAACAGGGCTGCTGCTCCACTTCCCCTGGTGAGGGGAGGGCTAAAGTTGAATGAGCGTGGGTGAGGGAGGGAAGGGTGTAGGGAGGATTGAGTCGTGGCCCACCCTTCTCCCATGTCACGTAGTTTTCATTAGTGCTGGCCTTCCCTCCGTAGGCTGAGTTTATGATGCTCTTGCCTTATTAAACTTCCAGTGTTATTAAATGGCAAGTTAGCATCACTTAGCCTCCTGAGAATGCTAAAGGTAGATTTTAATGGTCCAAATGGGGCTAGTCTTAGATCTTTCCAGCTGTTGTACAGCCATCCCCGACTGGGTGCATTCATGGTTGATTCGGGCAAATGCAAGAGCATATTGGAACCTCAGGCCTGTAGGCTGAAGCAGGGGACATGGTAAGCAAACAGACAAGCGTGCAGCCAGGCGGGCTGGCAGGCACCAAGTGGGCCTCCTAACCCTGCGATCTCCATAACCCTGCGATCTCCATAATCACCCCTCATTCTTCTTCATCTTTCCCCTCTGATCTGTCGCTCTCTGTCCTCTCTGGCTTCTCTCTGGTTTCTTGCCTGCTGTCCTTCATCCCAGGTGCCTGTGCCCCATGCTTATGCTCCTAGGCCATAGAGACAGGTGACAGGAGGTGAAAAGAGCCGGAGTCCTCCCTTATTCCTCACACAAGTATATACAGTTTCTTGAGAGAGTGTCAGAGTTGGATTTCCATCTATTGTAACCTTTTTCTTGTGCTCACAGATACCCGCGGAGAAGGATGGCTCTCATCAATGACTCTTTCGTGACTGAATTCATTCTGTTGGGATTAACAGACCAACTAGATCTCCAAATCCCTCTGTTTCTCTTGTTCCTTTTAATATATATGTTCACAATTTTGGGAAATTTGGGTTTGATAACATTAATTTGGTTGAATCCACACTTACACACCCCCATGTACTTTTTCCTCTTTAACTTATCCTTTATAGATTTCTTTTATTCTTCTGTGTTTACACCCAAAATGCTGATTAATTTTATATCAAAGAAGAATATTATCTCCTATGCAGGGTGTATGACTCAGCTTTACTTTTACTGCTTTCTAGTCATTTCTGAATGCTACATGCTGACATCAGTGGCCTATGATCGCTATGTGGCCATCTGTAACCCGCTCATGTACAATATTGCCATGTCTCCTAAGGTGTGTTGCAGTCTGATGCTTGGTTCATACACAATAGGGTTTTCTGGAGCCATGGCTCACACAGGAAGCATGCTGAGACTGACCTTTTGTGATGCAAACAAGATCAACCATTATTTTTGTGACATCCTCCCTCTGCTTGAGCTTTCTTGCACCAGCACCTATGTCAATGAGCTGGTAGTTTTCATTGTGGCAGGCAGCAGCATCATCGTGCCCACTGTCACCATCTTTATCTCTTATGGCTTCATCCTCTCCAGCATCCTTCGTATCAACTCCAAGGAGGGCAGGTCCAAAGCCTTCAGCACCTGCAGTTCCCACATCATGGCTGTTTCTCTCTTTTTTGGCTCAGGTGCATTTATGTATCTCAAGCCCTCTTCTGCTGGGTCTATGGATCAAGGAAAAATCTCCTCTGTCTTCTATACCAATGTGGTTCCCATGATGAACCCTTTAATTTATAGCTTGAGGAATAAGGATGTTAAAGTTGCTCTGAGAAAAACCCTGTGCCGGAGAATGGTTTGATGAGAAATAGTTTCTGTGTATTTAAATATGACTGGTAGGATATTCTTCTTTTATAAAAATAGTTTGGCTGAAGCTTCAGTTCCTATGTACAATGGTTAAAATTTTAATTTTCTTTTGATTTATTTCCTCATTCTAACAATAGATCTTCTTTCCTCCCTGGTCACAATTCCTTTTCTTTTCAAAGTCTGCCTGCTGCAGAATAAAATTAGATCAAATGTATCTTAGTTTTTTTTTACATTCTCAGTATGGAAGTTGTTTTTTTCCTCCTGGAAGAGTTGAACAACTCTGCAGTTGATCAAGTTGGGGTAACATTGTGCTATCATTGGGTGATTAGCTGTGATAATCATAATGTGTTTTGGAACCAGGAATCAAATCATCATTTTACTTCTGTGTTTACATCCTTCTATGACCATGCATGTACTTCCTTTAAATACAGCATTTCCCAAACTGTGACAGCTTGCATTAAGTCTAAAAAATATAGTCAACATTCCAGCAGCAAATAGCATGTATTAAAATTCTTGCAGAGATTTCATATTTACTGTTGCACTGTTCACAGACATGGTTATTAAATTGCTGTGTAATTAGCATCAATATATATATTATAGACATGATCTGAAGCTCAGAAAAGTCAATAATTGAAGTCAGATAGCTTCCTAATAAACCGTAGATAAACTGTAACCTGTTTCAAGTCTGCCTCTCTTCTGAAGCTCAGAAAAGTCAATAATTGAAGTCAGATAGCTTCCTAATAAACCCTAGATAAACTGTAACCTGTTTCAAGTCTGCCTCTCTTCCATATATACTTTTTGTCTACTTCACTGTTTTTATTTTAAATTTCAGTAATCATGAAATATACTTATTATGGCTTTATTATTAATATCACTCAAGGTTATAGTTTCTTTTTGAATAATGAATATAGTTTGCTGATTCTTTTTCATATGCAGGAGAAGTCCTATTGAGTTAAGGTCACTGAGAGATGATTGGAGTTGACATTTTCTGCCAAATAATTTTAAAAAAGATTTAGGGTGTTTAAAAACTCTTGTAATAACAAAATAAGATGCTGGGGAGGAAGAATTCCAACAAGTAATTAGGCAAAAAGCAAAACTGAAACCAAATACATGATAACCTAGAGCTTCTTCCCTAGAGAAAGAAACAATGAGTTTAAAATATTTTTTTTAAAAGAGTTGTTTGTTTATACAGAACTGGGGTACAGGTCAGAGGCTCAGGGGCGGCGAGAAGCTTCACCAGAGACAGAGTGGGGAGCAGAACAGGCAGATCTACGAAGCACACTGCTGAGGGGAGCAGCGGGCGGGTCAGGAGAGGTCTGCCACGCCATGTGGTCACCTCCGGGGCAGGCGGGAATCGAACTCATGCGGAAGCGGCTTTAGCTTCTCAGTGCTATGCTTTAACCCGCTGTGCCACCAGGGAGGGCCTAAAATAATATTTTAACCTGAATTTGTATCCTCTTCTGTACAGTGATGTTTGTATCCTACATTGTCCATAAAGCTTTGATAAATCTTATAAATGTACAATGCCCATCAGTAGTATTTTGAAGAGCAAAGGAATGAATTGGTGGCCATTATAGCAGTGGAGCCCCAAAGGTGAGATAGTAACTTCAGGTGATAAAATGGTGGTGTGTGGCAATCAAAGCTCAAGTGAGGATTAAAGAAATTTAGAGAGTAAAATAATGGGGGAAAGAAAGCCTTTCTGTGATCCTGCATTTTTGGAAGACCTTAGAAAAATGATGGAAATCACAAGATTTCTCTAGATAGAATAAAAAGCTCAGGTTCTTTGATATTGACAAGTTAAATACATGGGGTCAGAGTTCTTCAGAGCCACTAACTCTCACATGGGTTGATGGTTTCTGTTGGCTTCTCCATGGTGTGTTTTAGGAGACAAAAAGCCTCGAACTGCAACTGAGAGAACAATGAAAATTTGAAAGAAAACTTAATGACTAAGTCATATGGTAACAATACGTTTTCTGTAATAAGATTAGACCTATCTTTTATCAAATACAAATGAGTTCTTGTAATTTTCTCAGTCTAAATTATTTCACTTAGTCATCCAGGTTTAACAAAACATAAGATACCATTGTATCTTATGGCTAAATAAGATACCATTGTTTTTATGTAACATGTACTTGAAAGTTGCTAAAAGAATAGCCGTTAAAAGTGATCACTGAAATAAAGAATGGTAATTTTATAACATGGAGAAGGTATTAGCTAAAACTGAGGTGGTAATCACATTGCCATATGAAAGCGTGTCAACTCTGCATGTGCACTTAAGCTTACACAGTGTTAATGCCATTATATTTCATTTTCATTGAAAGAAATGAGCAAAAATGCTTCTCACAGAGACAGGGACATTTGGAAAGAGTGTAAATTAATGAGTTTGACATGAAATATATTTTGCATTTTACTTTTAGCATATGTAAGTTACTCATAGACAGCATACATTTGCATTACTTTTATCCACTCAAAATTCTGCCATTGTTTTAGTCTATAGCATGAAACTTTATCAATTTTTGTAGTTTTAAAAGTTATACTATGTACACATAACTCTATATGTCAAGGCAGCTCTTAATGACTTTTAAATATATATCCCTAAAACTTTTAGTACATTTGTTGTAACGATTTATCTCCATCCCTGATCTCCCATGGTTGCCTTTTGCACAGAATGTATTTTACATTCTTTTGCTTTCAGCATACATGAGTTACTCACAGGCAGTATACATTTGCATCTTTTTTAGTAATTCCCTCAGGTGTATTTAATTGTTTTACATTTAAAAATTTATTGGTCAGGAATATATATGCCATTGTAATTTTTGAGATTTTTTCTTTTTTTAAACTTCTTTTGTCTATCTTTTAATGATTTTCTTTCATTGAATAATTGGGATATTTATTTCCTTTCTCTTTCATTTGTATGATTTCTTTATGTATTTTCTTTGTAGTTACCATAGAACTTATATTAAATGTCTTATAATTATTATTGTCTTTTAAGTTGGATAAAGTTCAACTCAACAACTAATAAGTTTGTTTCTACTCCTCTCCACACTTCATGTTTGTGACTTTTTAAATCTTTAGTGTACCCATTAACATATTTTGAATTGTTAATACTTTTGTTTTTAACCTTTGTAACAGAATTGAAAGCATTTCACCCACAACCATTGCCATTATTCAGCATTCTATATATTTCTACTGCTTATCAACTTTATTCGGAAACCCCTAACACCTTATTTTGTTATTCATCTTCCTTCCTTTTCAGTTGAAACTCCCTTTAGCTTGTCTTAGGTAGGTCTAGTGTTGATAACCCCCTTCAATGTGTGTTTGTCTGAAAAGCTTTACTCTGCCCTCATTTTTGCTGCATGGTGTTGCTTTGTCCCTTCTTCAGCACCTCAGTGGTATCATTCCACTCTCTGTGTTCTGCAAGATTTCCGTGAAAATCCACTTAGATTCTTCTGTGTGATCCATTGTATGTGACAAGTTGTTTTTCTCTTAGTGAAAAACTTGAAAACAAACTCGAGAAGGCTGACCATAGGTCAGAGGATGAGCAGGAAGACTGATAACTGAGGGGTCTGGGGGAAGCCCAGTGGACAGTGGTGGAAGACTGTGCGTCAGTGGTGGGTGTACTGTGGTGACTACCCCTGAGGGGGGAATATAGGATTTCCTGATAAAACACTACCAAGCATGTCAAGTGGTGGTTCTTCAATAACAATGAATGAATGAATGATCCCTAAACAAAATTCTCTTTGTATTGACTTTTGATAATTATCATCTGTCTTTGTTGGATTTATTTGTGGTCATTTCTTTTAAAATTACTTTTGCTTCCTATTTTTAGATAGCCATTTTCTCTCCCAGATTTCAGACTTTTCAGCCATATTTGTATAATTTTCCATTCTCTTCTCACTGTCTTCATTTATTGAGATTCCTATAATGCACGTTGTGTGCATTAGGCTTAGACTTTTGTTAACCTTTACTTATTTTTTTTCTTTTATTCCACTGACTATATAAATTCTAAAAAAATTTATTTGAATGTTGCTGATGCTAATTTTGTTTGATCCAGTCTGCTGTTGAAACCTCTACTGAAATTTTCATTTAAATTGTCTTCTTTATCCCCACAAGATATGCTTAATATTTTTAAGTTGTTGCTTAAAATAAATGTTTATCCTCATTGGAACTTCCACTTCACGCACCGTGTCTAAACACAGGGAGCATGTTTCTATCAGTTATTTTCCGTTCCCTGCAGGGAGATCACAAGACTCCCCAAAAGAAACGAGCAGAGTAATGAATGGGGTGATTCAAACCAGTCTGGACTAGAGGTAGTCCTTGACCATACACACTGTTCAGTTTCCATCAATATATGTGTGAGGGGGAAAGTCATTAAAATCCCATTGTATAGACTTATGATCATTATGCTTAATGAACGAGTATAGTTGTTATTCCAAATTAAATATTTTCAACGTCTAAGGTACTTCCTTAAATAAATTCTACAATAATTATTTTTGACATCCGTAATGAAAAGAATTTGAACATGGAAATGTTTACTCATAGAGAAAAAAACTGCTTCATCACCTGAAGTGTCATTGACACACTAGTAATGAATCAGAATAGGTACACAATTATAATAGAAGTTCAGAAGTGATCCAGCTTAACTTTCTGTTGCTTCGCAGAATTTTGGACTAGGCTTTTTTACATTTCAGCTATATAAGCTTTGTTCCTGGAGATTGGGGTAGACCAGTGTCTGAACGTGAGATTCCAGTTCGCTCAGTTTTTAAAGTGGAAGTGCATAATTGTACAATGCAGCCTTCAAGGATTTTAACTTTTAGTAAGTCACGGCATTGGAAACTTACCATGCCTTGAGAATAAATGATTTTATTTACAAAGTTGTGGTGATATATGATGATGAAAATGTAAATGAACAGTTGTAGTTATTGCAGGGAATTGTAAAAGAAATATTACACTGGAAAAATAATTATGCAAACTAATTGTGAAGCATAAGAGCTC